GTGTGTGTGCGTGTGTGTGTGTGTGTGTGTGTGTGTGTGTGTGTGTGTGTGTGTGTGTGTGTGTGTGTGTGTGTGTGTGTGTGTGTGGGAAGGCGCTTCGCGGGGCCCAGGAACTCGCGCCGCGGGCTTCGGTCCCTGGCGATTTCGGCCGTCGGAGTCGCGCGGCGCGCTTGGAATTCGCATCGCCCCCCCCCCCCCCCACCCCAGGGATGCGCGTGAAGGGCCCTGAGCATCCAAGTCGCAGGCCACAGGCGGTCGCGAACTGGCCCCAGGGCCCCGCGTGGCAGGCCCCAGGCGCGGCGTCGCAGGCCGCGAGGGCTCGCGTCTTAAGCCCCGAGGGCTCGCGTCGGCGGGGTCATGCCTCGACCCCGAAGCGAAGGAGCGGTCTAGACATCATCGTGGCATTCGTTTTCGCGTATTCCACGCGGTAGTCCTCGCAATCCCATCGCGGCGCCCTTCGTTCTTCCGTTCCCCTATCTGTTCCGCCCCGCCCCCGCTCGGCGATGGGCGCGCCGCCCAAAATTGATAATTTGCCGACGAAGAATTGTTAAGGATTTTCCAACATGGCCACTTGTGTTTTTTCCATCCCAGGTCGATGATCATGCAACCACGGATGATGACGACAGTGATGATGACGATGCTGATGGCGATGACGATGCTGATGATGATGGTGATGATGCTGATGAGTCTGATGTTAATGATGACGATGTTGACGATGCTACTGCTTGGGTTGATCACCAGTGATGATGCTGATAATGAGGATGATGTGGATACAACTGAGCATGTTGATGCTCATGAATATGCTGATGACGCTATTGATGATCATGATGAGGATGATGACGATGATTATACTGATGATGATGCTGATGCTGATGACGATGATGACGAGGATGATGGCGTGACTCACGATGACGATGCTCATGGTGATGATGCTGATGGTGGTGATGATTATGCTGATGATGATAGTGATGGTGTTGGTGATTGTGATGGTGATGGCGATGGCGTTGGCGAGGGTGATAATGATGATGATAGTTAGCATGATGATGAGGATGAAGATGAGGATGATGAGAAAGAGGATGAGAATGAGGATGCTGATAAGGTTGATGATGATGACGCTGTATAGTACGAATAGTACGACGGTGGCGATGATGATCATCATGCTGATGCCGTTGCTGATGATGATTATGATTATGATTATGATTATGATTATGATTATGATGATGATGATGAGGATGATGATGATGATGATGATGATGATGACGATGGCGATGACGATGACGATGACGACGATGATGATGCTGCTGCTGCTGCTGATGATGATGATGATGATGATGATGATGATGCAGCCCCTTCCATCCTCCTCGATCTCCTCCTCCTCCTCTTCCGCCTCCTCCCACCCTCTCATCTCATTACCGTTCCTCTTGTCCCCCTTGGGCGAGTGGAGGGCGTGGGTGGGGAACGGGGTCTGGTGCGTCCGCGGACCGCACCTCGGCGCCGCCAGGCCGGGCATGGCTCGAGGGCGCCTGGGAACCCCCTCCGCCGAGCGTCTCCGTACATCGGCGGCGCGCAGATGGGGGGAGTGGCGCGACGGGGGCGACCATCTGAGCAGTCGGGGGCAACGATTGGGGCAACGTCTAGTCGTCCTCCTCCTCCTCCTCCTCCTCCTCCTCCTCGTATTCCTCCTGTTCCTCCTCCTCCTCCTCCTCCTTCCCCTCCTCCTTCCCCTCCTCCTCCGCCTCCTCCTCCTCCTCCTCCGCCTCCGCCCCCGCCTCCTCCTCCTCCTCCTCCTCGACCATGTCAGCAGTCGGGGGCAACATTTGGTCGGCGCCCTATCGCCAATGTATCGCCCATAGGGGCAAGATAGCCCGCGCTGCCCAGGAACCTGCGGTCATGCTCTCGAGAGCTTGTTGCCGATCTATCGGCTATGCATCGCTGATTGCAGGTCGATGTCCCACCCCCCTGAGCCAGCCCGCCCGATCGCTGCTCCTCAAGAAGGCATGGGGGCGTGTCTGGGAAGCCTTCATGCCTCCACGATCGGGCCAGACGACAGGGTAGGATAGGGAAAGGGGAACTACGAAATCTGCTGCATGCAGCTGGTTTCCGCCCCGCCGCCGGGCCCATTCCTCGATACATGGGCGCCTCCTGGCGCCAGGAGGCGTCAGGAAACCCAGCCACGTGAGCTGATCCTCGACCCTGCCCTTTACCATCCCACCCTTCCCCACCCCCACCCCCCCTTCGCTGCTCGTCTCTCCAGACTCCGACCCGCTTCTGCGAAGCTCGCTCGGGCCTTCTGAGATGGCTGCCCCTCTCGCGCCACGCACTCTTGTGCGCGCTGCCGGCCACGTCTTTCAGGTAGCGCAGCGGCAGGCAGTGCCCGAGGAGGCGCCCGCCATCTCGACCGGCGATGTCGGAGCGGCACGCCTACGGCACGTCCTGCGGGTGCGTCAGCCGCAGGACTCGAGCGGCGACGAAACGTGCCAATCTGCTCGCAGGCTTATCCGCACACGCTCTTATAGAGCCAGCTGCTGCGTGTTTGGATATGCCGTCGGATGGTTTGTGGTCGGGACAACGTTGTGCTACATGGCTGTCTTCTTGGGAAGATTCTTGCTCCAGTAGCGTGTCGCGGATGTCCTTGAGAGCGGACTGGGGCCGGCCCTTGCTCGAAGGATATTCGTCCTCGTGTCCTGCCTGGTGCTGGCGGTCCTCTGCTACCTGCAGCTGGGCCGCTGGTTCCTGGAGCTCCATCTGCTCAGCCCCGCCACGGAGGATCCGGGGTGGACAGAACCCCCACCCTGACACGTCGCTTCGTGAATTGTCCGTTCTCGGTTCTCGAGAGGGCGCCGCGGCCGTTGACTATTTTCCAGGCTTGCGCCCGCCAGGTTTAGGCCCGGGGTCGTTTTCACCAAACGACGTTCTACTAAACGGGGTTCTGTCCATCCCCGGGAGGATGCGAACCAGCGCCTCCACTGCACGGGCACCGAGTGCCTCGAGGTCTGGAGCTGCTACGGCATGCGGGAGACCACCTACCACCTGCGGGAGCCCTTCGTCACGGCCGTGGGGGCCGTCACGCTGCCGCTCGGGGTGTACGGTGCCCTTCAGGAGCGGCGTTTTTTGTTCCCGGATGTTGTTTTGACCCTCCTACATAGGCGACATGTTTCGCTGTCTTGTTATCCCATCTAATATGAAGTCGGGCATGTCCCTCTACAGGAGGAATATTCAAGAATAGTTTTGAAAATAGTCTGGAGACGATGTTTTGACTATGTTTGAGCAGCTTCGAGTATTGTTTGACTATTTTTAATATTTCCAAAATCCGCCTGTAGGGGGACGCTCGACCTAAATCTAATAATCGAATGGCCTTCGGCCCATCCCGCCACCGTGCCTGGGTTGTGGGGATGAAGCCTATTGGATGTTCGTTGGGATCTCGCGGGAGGCCTTTCGGGGGCCTCCGAGGCGGTTTGGACGCCTTTTGGGGGCCATCTGGGGGCCTCTTGGGGCCTCGTTTGGACCTTTTGGATGCCTCCTGGAGCTTCGTGGCGGCCTCTTCGGGGCCCCTAGGGGCCCCCTGGGCCTGGGGCCTTCCTGGGGACCTCTTGGGGCGGAAGGCCCGGATGTTCAGTTCGTGCTCCCTCTTTTGGGGGCCCCTTTGTGGACCGTCCTGGGGCCCTCTTGGATCGTTTCGGGCGCCTCTTGGGCTGTCTTGGGGCCTTCTGGGGCCGTTTGGGGGCCCTCTTGGAGACCTCTTGGGCCATCTTGGGGCGGTCTTGTCTGGGAGTGTCGGGGAGCCGAAAAGGCGAAAACGCCCGAATCCTTCAAAAACCATAGGCAAATCAATGAGTCTGGCCTCTTGGGGCCCTCTTGGGAGGCCTCTTGGAGGCCTCTTTGGGAGTCTTGGAGGCCTCTTGGGCCGTCTGGGGGGCATCTGGAGCGTCTTGGAGCGAGCGTTCGGCGACTCGGGCCCTCTTGGGCCGTCTTGGCGGCCTCTGGGAGCCCTCTTGGCCCGCCTTAGGGTCCATCGGCCCCGGAAACAGTCGCGCGACAAGACGCGGCAAGCCCCAGGGGAACCGCTGGAAGCCCAAGAAGACTTGAGAATTTTGGGGGCCCAGGCCCTCAAGAACTCCTCGGGAGTGACGGCTGAGGCTCAGAGGGGTAGCGGAAGGACTTGAGGACACGCCCACTCCGTGCCCAGCGGCACGGTGGCGGATACGTGCATTGGTTCAGATCTCAGGCCTGAAACATTTGTTTACCTGCGTGCACCCCAAGCAGTGTGTTATTGCTCTCTGGACGTGCAATGTGCGTGGTACAATCTATGTGGCGCAACTCACTTGCCGAACTTGAAGTTGCCAACTCCATTGCTCGCGCAATCATCCCACCCACCCACCCGCAACTTGGTTTGCAAAACCCATGCGGGACCGAGCACAGATATCGCTCCGGGGTCGTCTTGGAGCCCTCGGGGGCGTCTCAGGAGCGCCCCAAAAAGGCCGGAGAAGCAAGACGGCCGACGACGACGACGACGACGACGACGACCACCACGACGACGACGACGACGACGACGACGACGACGACGACGACGACGACGACGACGACGACGACGGCGACGGCGGCGACGACGACGACGACGCCGACGACGACGACGACGAAGACGACGACGCCGACGACGACGACGACGATGAAGATGACGACGACGTCGCCAACGAAGACGACGACGAGGGAGGAGGGAGGACGACGACGGCGACAACAACGACAACGACGACAACGACGACAACGAGGGAGGAGGGAGGACGGCGACGACGCGAACGACGAAGAAGGAGGAAGGACGGCGACGCCGACGACGACAACGACGAGGGAGGAGGGAAGACGACGACGACAACGACGACGACGACGAAATAGGAGGGACGACGACGAGACGCCGACGACGGACGACGACGACGACGAGGGAGGAGGAGGAAGGACGACCACGGCGACATCGACGACGGAAACGACCACGACGCCAAAGAGGACGACGACGAACACGAGGAAAGACACAGGACGACGTAGGCGACGACGACGACGCGTGAGGAGGGAGGACGGCGACGACGACGACGACGACGACGACGACGACGACGCCGCAAGAGCGCGCGCGCACGCTTTTGTTGAAAATCCGTGTTGCGAGACCTTGTGTTTTTGTTGGTTTTTTTGGACGCGAGATTTTGAAATCCTTCCGAAACCGAAGGGTTTTGAAGGATTTTGGCGTACGCGCGCGACGACGCGCGCGTCTGCACTTCGTCCCATCTGTTGCAAAGGATTCTCGCGACTGCACAAGCGCAAGGGCGTTCGACAGATTTCGACATGCGCGCGCGACGCCCGTTTGGTAGCATGTTGTGAAAATCTTGAAAAACCAATGGTTTCCTTAAGATTTCGCAGGAGCTCGCGCGTAAGCTTTTTTAGCACATCAGTGTTACGAAACCGTGTGTTTTTTGTATGTTTGTTGGGAACATGATGGCGAAATCCTTCCGGCACCGAGGGTTTTTGAAGGATTTCGGCATGCGCGCGCGACGACGCGCGCGTGTGCACTTCGTCATATTTTTTGCAAGGGATTCGCGAAACAGTGTTATGTTAAAACAGAAAATGTCACCGCATAGTGTTTTTTACAAGGGAACCTCAGGGGGGGGAACCCGGTTGGCCTGGGACATTGTGATTTCATATTTAGGATGGACATGTGGTCAGAATAATGCGTGATTTACATACCCGAAAAGGGGGGCGATAACGCCGGGGGGGGTAGAGTCTATTGTTTTTATAGAACGGAGCCACTGTTGGTGTGCGCGCCCCTCCAGCAACGTTGTTTCGACGGGGCCACCCCTCAGCCCTCTATTTTAATGTTTCCTTCGCGGCCGCTGCAGGAGTGCCAGCATCGGCATAATGAATGCCCATAGCACGCCCCTCAGACACACTCGCTCCCAACATCGAAACTGGAGGACGCGGGGGTTCTCAACGCACGTGCGGGGGGCCCTCCCAGTGGGCCTTGTTTGACTCCAGTGGCTGCACGTCCTTCGAGTTGGTCATTGCGTTTTACGTCCTCCTGTGCACAGCATTTTTTTTTCGACGCCGTGCTCGTCATGTGCCTTCGGTCCATCGCGCCCGTCCGCGGGCGAAGGTGTCAAGACCTGGGGGGGCCCAGCGAAGGACTGATACCTGTGGTGCCGACCTGAGGGCACCCTTTGGGCCGCACCGCGACGACCACGAGGAGGGCGACAGCAACGGGGCCAGCCCAGCCACTCCGCTCACCGCAGTCGTGTAACTAAATGGCTCCCAGGGCAGCCAGTGGCACCTTCAGGCGGCCACCCTCTACCTGATCTTGGGGAACGAAACATGGCATAAACATGAAAACTCTGAGGTCCGCGCGGCTTTCTTGGATCTGCGCTGGGCCCCCTTCCCTGGCGCGCGGAGCGCGCCAGGGGCGGCTCCGGAGGCGCCGCCAGGGGGCCCCAGCGCCGATCCGAGAAATCCGCGCGGACCTCCGAGTCTTTATGTTTATGTCATTGTTCGTTTCCCTATGATCCTGGACGCGGCCCTCCGCTTCGGAATCATCGTGGCGTGGCCTCCGTCGGGCGCGCCGGCACGTCGGGCTCCGACGGCCCTCCTCGCGGGCTCTGCGCCTTTGTGTGGGAGGCGGCCGGCTCAGCTGTCGCGCGGTCGGGGCAGGATTGCCCGCAGGGTGCGGCAGGCACGTGCCGCGCGGGCGCGGCCAGAGCCTCGACGTGGCGCGCGGGCGTGGCTGGAGCCCCGAGGTGTGTGCGTGTGCGTGTGCGTGTGCGTGTGCGTGTGTATGTGCGTGTGTATGCGTGTATGTGAATATGTGTGTGTGTGTGTGTGCGTATGCGCGTGTATGCGTGTGTGCGCGTGTGTGCGCGTGTGTGTGTGTGTGTGTGTGTGTGTGTGTGTGTGTGTGTGTGCGTGTGTGTGCGTGTGTTTGTGTGGTGGTGTGTTGTGTGTGTGTGTGCTGTGTGTGTGTGTGTGTGTGTGTGCGTGTGTGTGTGTGTGTGTGCGTGTGTGTGTGTGTGTGTGTGCGTGTGCGTGTGTGCGTTTGCGTGTGCGTGTGCGTGTGCGCGTGTGTGAGCCTCGCGCGAGCGCGGCCAGGGCGCCGGACTGCTCCCCGGCGCGGCGGAGCCCCGAGGCGCCGGCGCGGGCGCTCCACGCTGGATGCCCCCTCGGGGAGCGGGCCGCGGCGGGCCCGAGCGGCAGAGGCCGCCCCGAGCGGTCACTCGCCGGAGGTCCCCCTCCTCCTCCTCCTCCTCCTCCTCCTCCTCCTCCTCCTCCTCCTCCTCCTCCTCCTCCTCCTCCTCCCGAGGCATGACCCGAAGACCGATCTCCTGGCGTACTGGACGGAACGCATGACGGGAGGTTTTGGACACCTCTTCGGAGACACTTCGACATCTCCAGCAAGGATGGCACATCGCCTTCGGCAGTCGCCCTGCCCAAGTTTCGGCTTCCCGGGGGCCCTCACCAGAGAGATGGCTCGGGATGCAGGGCCGGCCCCGGGGAGGTGGTGCATGGGCCTCTGGGAGTCCACGTGGCCGAACAAGCATGGCGTGGGATGTTTCGCGAAAAGAGGGAGGCTCGAGGTGCGAGGATAACTGGATGGCTCAGCGGGAGGCGGGGGAGTCGGCCCTGCCAAATCCAGGGTGCCCTTGTGTCCTGAGCTTCGCGACGTGCCTTCTCACGTGCCGCTGGCGGTGTGGCCCTCGGGAGAGCCTCGTGTCCTCCCCGCGCGTCCTCTCCAATCGACCCCCGACGGTATCTGGTGCTGCCAAGCTTCAGTCGGGCCTGTCCCTCTACAGGGGGAATGTTCAAACATAGTCAAAAAATAGTCTGGGGACGATTTTGGGATTCTTTTTGAACATTTGGGGGATATGGTTGGAATAGTTGTTATTTTTCGCCCAAAATCTCCCTGTAGGGGGACGCGCCCGACTTAATGCCAGGCGTGGCCCCGGCCCGGGGTGGCCACCCCAGCTCAGCTCTCCCAGCAGGGGAGGCGCAGGTGACTCCCAGGGTGCCCCACCGCGCGGCCCCGAGGGCCCCTCGAGGTCCCGAGAGGGCGCGAGAAGCGGGGAAAGCCTCGGGCCAGGACCACTTCCTCCTCCTCCTCCTCCTCCTCCTCCTCCTCTTCCTCCTCCTCCTCCTCCTCCTCCTCCTCCTCCCTGGTGCTTCTCTCGACCATCAATGGCAAGGTCCTGCCAACAAGTGGTGGGAGCGCATCCAGATCCTGTGCGACTCCTACGCTCCCATCCAGCAGTGCATCAAAATGTATAACTCCGCTGCCATCACATGCCTCTCGTACGTCGGCCAGCTCTACCCGCCCTCCCCAGCATTCCTGTCCAAGGAGATTCACGAGCTCCACAAGCTGATCCGTGCTGCCCCCTCGAGCTTCACGAAGATGGACATACTGTCGTTCACGCTATGGGCGTCCGCCACGATCCCGCAGGGTATTGAAACGCTTCTCGCAGCAACGATGTGGCGCGCCTCCACGACTACCATCTCTGGCTGGCAGCCTCTGCTTCACACATTCCGTGCCCATGCTGAAGAACTTCTCCCGCTACGGGATGTAGTTGTTGGAAAATGGTCTGCTTCATGTTGGATTGACGCCACTTCCATCGTGCAGCGATTCGACGACATACTGCACAACAAGCTGATCGCGACGGGCAAAGAATCCATCTTCAAGATTCTCACGCGATCCACAGGATCTACGGTGAATGCCGCCCAGATACTTCAACGTGCACATGCGCAAGCTGCTGCTGCTGGACGACACGCTATCATGGCATCCCGTCGTAACAAGGCGGAGGATCTGTACACACACAGTCGTGACAGGACTGGAACCCACCAGGCACCACGCCGTGACAGGGCTGGTGGCCTTCACACGCCCAGTCGTGACAGGACTGGCGGATCTCATCAGAGACAAGCTGGATTCATAGCTTCGAATGGTGCTACTCCGAGTGCCACTTCACGCACCTCTCCACAACAAACAGACCTACGGGAACTACAACGCCAGCTGTACCGCGACTCCTTCCACAAGACTATTCATCACCGTCTCCGCGCCTGGTTCCCACTACTTCCTGTTGAAAGTGGACCCCAGATGGCACCTGACACGACCGAGCAGCCGAATGGGAACGACAAGCATGATTCCATGAAGTACCTGAATGAACGTGCAGAAGCATGGGCAGCAAGATGGATCCCCAGCGTGTTCTTCTGCCGTGATATGGACAACTTCAACGACTGGATGGACTGGTGCCTCCCGTGCATCACAGCTGTTCTACACCGCACCCAGTTCAATGCGCACTTCTGCCTCGATGACCAGTACGGGTCAGCCAATGCTCGCCGTGACATGGCGATGGAGATATGTAACGGTGCATGGCATCGAGCTGAACGACCTCGCAACCACCGCCTACAGATATACACCACCGAGCACATGCCGGCCAACACTCATCGAGAATTTGCTGATGAAGCTGCTGAACACCGCGCCCGCCGTCGCTGGATCGAACGGGAACGTGCCACCAACCCGAACATCCCGCAGGAAGACGACGGCACTCAGTCTACCACTACGGCCACCGCCACACCTCACATCTACTCCGCCAGTGACATCATGATGGACTCCGATACATCCGACCGTGACGGACTTCTTGGACGTGCTGCTCTCCCTGCGAGTGTTGAGCACGGCTGGCGCGACCTGCGGCCCCACCTGGCGAACTCCTCGGCCTCGCTCTTCTGGCCCGTGGTCAAGACCTTGTCTGGAGCGTGGACGACATCGCACCGCATGCACGTCAATCCCCACAAGAAGAACTGCCTGTTCGGCTGCGACAAAGTCTCGCAGATCAAGAACACGGACGACATCAACCACTACATTACATGCCCGCGAATGTGGGCGCTACTGGCTCTGCCTCGGGGACAACCTGCTGGTGATGTCCTCACACGGATCGGGCTCCACGAGAGCGACAACATCGACGACCACCCGAAGCACACCATCACACGCATGGTTGTGGCCTTCCGCACGTGCAACATCATGCGGGTGCGCGCCGGGCTGGGCACGCCCGTCGTCCACGACGAGCTCAAGTACCACAAGGAGGTGGTCGCAGCCGCCCGCCGCGTCCTGAGGCTGCCTCGGTGCCTCGTGGGCGGCGCGGGCCCGCTGCGCCTCTAACCCGCGGACACGCGCCCTCTTAAGCGCGTCGTTCGCTGCTCCTCCTCCTCCTCCTCCTCCTCCTCCTCCTCCTCCTCCTCCTCCTAGACCTGCGCAAGGGACGTATGCTTGGCCTCCTCTTGCTCCCTCTTGGGGGGGCCCGTTTTCGGGCCATCCTGTGCGCCGTGGAGCGATCTCTGGGCGACCTCGGGGTCGGCTTACGGAAGAAAAAGCCCGGTGGGGACGCGGGAGACCCCTGGGACCCCCCCCCACCGGGAGCGCTAGGATGATGAGGACGATGACGATGATGATGATGATGATGATGATGATGATGATGATGCTGATGATGATGATGATGACGATGACGATGATGATGATGATGACGATGATGATGATGATGATGATGCTGATGATGATGATGATGATGATGATGATGATGATAATGATAATGATATTGATGATGAGGAGGAGGAGGAGGAGGAGGAGGAGGAGGAGGAGGTGGACGAGGACTAGGAGGAGGAGGAGGAGGAGGAGGAGGAGGAGGAAGAGGAGGAGGAGGAGGAAGAGGAGGAGGAGGGTGCGAAGGGTGCGAACGAAGTGGCCCAGTCGACGAGCCCTGGCGCGCAGGCCGAGGGGGCCCGCCTTGCGCCCGCGCCGCGCCGAAGAGGGGGGGCGATCCCCCCACTCACGGGCGGGTCGAACGACCGAGAGAGGCGAGCCGAAGCGAAGCGAAAAACAAACCGAACAGGGCACACCAAGCCCCCCGATGGGAGCTCAGTAACTATGCCCTGAAGTGCGTGGGGAGGCCACCCCCCCAGCCGCCTCCAAGAGGAGGCGCACTCAGGAGGAATACCTTTCGAAGGCCAGCGCGAGAGCTTCCTCGCTGCCGAACCTCTTCACGGCGAGCCTCCAGAGAGCCTCCACAGGGATGTCGTCACCCGAGGGGTAGTAGACGCCTTCCACCCAGAAGCCGTTGTGTTTGCCCTTGCTCTTGCCCTTGCCATTGTCCTTGCCGCGAGTGGTCGGGACGCGGCTGGGGCGCATGTCGAAGGCCTGCGCTCCTATGAGCCCGACCTTGTCGCTGAGGGTGTCCAGGCAGGCTTGACCACGAGCCCCCTCAAGGTCATCATCCATGTGCTTGCCATCAGGTTCGGAAGAATCAAGACTTCAAGAGATGCCACAATGGGCTGGTTGATGAGAGAAGCGCCGACGCGCTGAGATGTGCGGCGACCCGCAGCTTGAGAGTCAAGACCATCCACACTGACGAAGTCCTCCTCGTAGTTGTCCGCATGGGACTCTTCGAAGATCGCCCCCTCGTCATTGTGAGGCTCGACACCGTACGAGGCAGCAGAGTCCGACACCAGGTCGAACACCTCCGCGCCGCCACCGTTCACGATTGCGCTTCCCGTCTTGCCACCAGCGCATGAGGGCGTCTTGTTCCACCTGTTGAGACGTCTCACCTTCGGCGCGTCCCCGTCCACGTCTGGGGGCCTCGGGACGCTGAGCCTATCCTCCTTCTGCTTGCGTTTCATCTCGACCCTCTCCGGAGGCGGTGCTCCGCTGCACCAGTAGCACGTCTTGCGGAACCCGAAGTTCTCCGCGCCGCACCTGCACCTCCACATCTTCACGTAGTATTTCGTGTTGGACAGGTAGGCCGACGTGGGCACCCAAGGAACCCGCTTCTTGGGCTGGTGCACCTCGGTTGCCATCTCGTCGGCCTTCTCCTTCTGGATATCCTCCCCCTGGAATCCCTCCATATATATATATATATATATGCCCATCTTCATGTTGAGCTGCATCCGCGAGCCCTCGGCTGAGGGCGGGATGCTCTCCTCGTTGATCTTCGCCTCCTCGCAGTCCATCTCCTCCAGGTTGTCCGTGGGCTGCTGCTTCACCTGCGGCCGTGAAGGTCCAGCCACCGGGTCGTCCGCAACCATGGAGCTCAGGCTTTGGTTGCGATTGAACTCCTCCTCGATCTTGGCCTTCAGCTCTGGCCAGGAAGCTGCCAGCTCCAGGTCCAGCTGGAGGTTGTCCTTGCACTGCGCCGACTCGATCTTGGCTGCGTGCTGCACCCCCGAGAGGTCTGAGCGCAGCCACTTCTTCTTGGCCTCTTCGAAGAGCTTGCGATTCTGCGCCCGCTCCTTTAGGACTGAGTGGGCAGGGAGGTTCTTCCGCTTGCCAGTGTTGCCAGGGACGCCAGGCGACGCCATCCGCGCAGACAACAACGTCAGCCTGTCGAACAGCCCGAAAATCCTTTGCAGAAGTCCCTGATCTGGGTGCCCAGCTGCTCTGAGAGGAAGCACTCGCTGACGTGGATCACCAGCTGCATCCGCTCACGCCATGGCCCGCGGCGGCTGCGCGACTCCGAATCGCGCCGCCCGTCTCCCCCCGCTCCAGGGGACGGAGCCGCTAGGAGGAGGAGGAGGAGGAGGAGGAGGAGGAAGAGGAGGAGGAGGAGGAGGAGGAGGAGGAGGAGGAGGACTGGGCCCCCGGAGGAGCCCCAGGCTGTGCCCCACGGGGCCCGAGGTCGCTCCACACTCAGTGCCTCGGGGGGCCACGGCGACGCATGCCATCAGGCCATACAGCATATGCTCCGACAGCACACACCGTGTGAGCGTTTAACTTCTTCGTTGTGTTGCCGCTCGGCGCGGGCCCTCGCACCCCCCCCACCTCTCCCCCCCCCATGGGGTAGATCCTGGCTGTTTTGGGGCGCCTGTTTCGAGCAGGTGGGGTCCTCCCCCGCAGGACGCACCGTTTCAAACAGTCGCGCTAAGCAGAGGTCCGGAGCCAGACCTCCCCCCTCCCCCCCCCTCCGCACAATGCCGAAACGCCGAATAAGGAAACGCTCACCGTGTCCGCAGCGCGCGCTGCTTCCAGCTTGACAATGGGCCGCACAGGTGGCTGACGTTGTGTACGTCGAGACGTGTGGCTCCTACCCGTTCAACGTGGTGGACCAGATCCTCCTGGAGACAAAGGCCGTGCTTCGCGACGAGACGTGCAGCTGCTTGGAGGGCGCCGATCAAGCACAAGCACAGATCCCCAGAGAAGGAACAGCTACCGATGCTGCTACCCTTGCCTCGTTTGCGTCTTTTTGGGCCTCCCAGGGCGCCCTCGCTACCACGGCTGGACTCGCCTTGAGATTCTGTTCAGACCGCGCCCAGGTCGAGTTCTGGGGAGGTTCGGTATCGGTACTTTTTGTTTCCCCATTTGCACCAGCACCGGTCCTGGAAAGGCCCAGCCTGGGGCCCCGTGATTGGTGTATGCGGCTTCGTGGGGTTTGCGGGGATCGATTGTACTAAATACTGTGTTGTCGGCGTCCTCCTGCGCAGCCTGCCTGGGGTGGGGGGCGGCTGAGGTCATATCGCGAGGAGGTCTCTTCCGTGGCAGGAAGGAGGAGGGAAGAAGGGAGGGCGGTGGGGGGGGGAGTGATGTGGTGTAATTTGCATGGTGCGGGCTACGGGGTGCACTCAATGTGGTACAAGCCATGTGGTGCAGTTCATGTGCTGGAGCCTACGTGGTGCGAACTACGCGGTTTAAGCAGTGTATTGTAAGCCATGTTTTGCAACCTACATGGTGCAAGCAATGTGGTGCACATTATGAGGTTGCAGCTATGTGATGCACGCTCTGTTGGACAGTATACGTGGTGCAAGCTATGTGTTGTAAGCCATGTGGTTTTAGCTCCTGGTGCAAGCTATGTGGTGTAAGCGATGTGGTACACTTGACTACGCTACACTGCACTGCGCGTGATCACCTCCCATACTCGTGCAAACATCCCGCCCACCCACCCGTAGCTTAGCTGACAGAGTCTCGTCAGGCAACGATGGCGATGACCATACAGCGGCGATTGCGATGACTGCTTGACCCTGGCTGGTGCATCTCTGCGGCCGCGCTGGCTCGCGCAAGCTCGAGCGCAGAGCGGCCAGCTGGTTGGGCGAAGCCGATGCTGTGGCGATGGCGCATGCCGAGGGGAATCTCCCAGCGCGCGTGAAAGGCCGCGCTGGCGCACGGGCATTTCAATGCGCGTCGGTGGCTCGGGCGGGCGCGGTATCATGATGACTTCGACAACGGCGGCAACGATGACGCTAGTGGCAGAGGCGTTGGCTATACTGACGGCGACACCGGCACAGGCCAGTGACGTTACCGATGCTGGCAACGCCGATAATCATGTTGATGTCCATTTGTCGATGGCGAGGGTTCTTGAGTGATGATGGCGGCACTGGCGGCGATTCTCAATGATGATGACTTGGTGGTGCAGCGCTCATGAGGGCTATGGCGATGAAGTGCGCGCGCGAGGAAGCCAAACAGCCTAGCAAACTAGCTGTGTAAGACAAGCATCTGGCATATCGAAGACGCCTACGGCGAATCACCGCCGCCCCCTGCCTTTTTGGAAGCGCCTATGTGGCCGAACGTTCCCCGAATCGGTTTGGAAAGCCTTCGGGGAACACGTGGGCATCTTGAAGGTCATCTTGGCCGTCTGGAGGCCATTTGACCCTTTCGGGCCTTCTTGGAGGACGTCTTGGAGGGCTCTTGGACCGTCTTGGAGGCCATCTTGAGCGTCTTGGAGACCTCTTTGGCCGTCTTGGGGGCTTCTTGGGGCCGTGTCTTGGGCCTCTTGGGCGATCTTTGGGGGCACTCGGGCCGTCTCGGGCCGTTGGAAGGCTGAAAAACAAGCAAACGCCACAATCCTTCAACCACTCTGAGGAAATCAATGATTTTGGCCTTTTCGGGCCTTCCTGGAGGCCATCTTGGAGGCCTCTTGGGCCGCCTTGGGCCATCTTAGGGCCATGTTCGGCCGTCTTGGTGGGCTCCTGGTCCGTCTGACGCCGTCGGAAGCCGTCTCGGGAGCCGTCTCGGGGGCCGTCTTGGAGGCCATCTTGGGCGTCTTAAAGGCCTCCTGTGCCGTCTTGGGGGCCTCTTGGGGCCGTCTTGGGGCCCTCTTGGGTGGGGCCATCTTGGAGGCCTCATGGGCGATCTTTCGGCGATCTTTAGGGCTCTTGGGCCGTCTCGGGCCGTCGGAAGGCCGAAAAGAAGGAAATATCAAAATCCTTCGAAAACCTGCGGAACATCAAGGTGTTTGGTCTTTTCTCCCCTTCCTGGAGGCCCTGTTGGGAGCCTCTTGGGCCGTCGTGGGCCAGTTTCGAGCCAACTTCGGCCATCTTGGTGGGTTCCTGGTACGTTCTGGGAGCCGTTTGGGAGGCCTTTCTGGGCCGACTGGGGGCCCTCTTGGGGTGCTTCGGGGCAGTCTTGGAGGCCATCTTGGGCGTCTTGGAGGCCATCTTGGGCTTGTTGAAGGCCTCTTGGGCCATCTTGGGGCCCTCTTGGGGCCGTCTTGGAAGCCACTTGGGCCTTCATGGGGCCCTCTTGGGGGCCTCTTGGGCGATCTTGGGGGCCTCTTGGGCGGTCTTGAGCTTTCGGAATGCCGAGAAGAAGCAACTTCCAAAATCCTTCAGAAACCTGGGACAAATCAATGATTTCGGTCTTTTCGGGCCGTCCTGGAGGACCTCTTGGAGGCCTCTGGGGCCGTCTGGGAGGCCTCTGGGGGGCCTCTTGGGCCGTCTTGGGCCGTCTTGAACTCTCTTGGTCCGCCTTGGAGGCCGTCTTGGACCATCTTGGGCGGACTTGGAGGCAATCTTGGGTCATCTTCGCGATTTGTTGAGAATATCCCGAGCGAAACGGCCGTTTCAGGCATTGACTGACGCAGTTTCCGGGTGGCCGGCGGGACGTGCTGGAGCCCCAGGGGGAGTTCTTTTGGAAAAAGAAGCAGAACCAAAACCGAGAGGGTTCAGCACGCCAGGCACCCCTGCGATGAATCGACAGGGGGCGGCGGATCGAAGACGCCTACGGCGAATCACCGCCGCCCCCTGCCTTTGTGGAAGCGCCTATGTGGCCGAACGTTGAGGCCAGACCAGCCAAGCCATCGGACCATGTGTTCCCCGAATCGGTTTGGAAGGCCTTCGGGGAACACGTGGGCATCCTGAAGGTCATCTTGGCCGTCTTGAAGGCCTCTTGGGCGATCTTTCGGCGATCTTTGGGGGCTCTTGGGCCGTCTCGGGCCGTCGGAAAGCCGAAAAGAAGAAAATGTCAAGATCCGTCAAAAACCTATGGAAAATCAAGGTTTTTGGCCTCTTCTGGCCTTCCTGGAGGCCCTCTTGGGAGCCTCTTGGGCCCTTTTGGGCCAGCTTCGAGCCAACTTCGGCCATCTTGGTGGGCTCCTGGTACGTCTGACGCCGTCGGGAGCCGTCTCGGGAGCCGTCTCGAGGGCCGTCTTGGAGGCCATCTTGGGCGTCTTGGAGGCCATCTTGGGCTTGTTGGAGGCCTCTTGGGCCGTCTTGGGGCCATCTTGGAGGCCACTTGGGCCGTCATGGGGTCCTCTTGGGGGCCTTTTGGGCGATCTTGGGGGCCGTCTTGAGCCGTCGGTATGCCGAGAAGAAGCAAATTCCCAAATCCTTCAAAAACCTACGGAAAATCAATGATTTTGGCCTCTTCGGGCTCTCCTGGAGGACCTCTTGGAGGCCTCTTGGGCCGTCTGGGAGGCCTCTGGGGGGCCTCTTGGGCCGTCTTGGGCCGTCTTGGACTCTCTTGGGCCGTCTTGGAGGCCGCCTTGGACCATCTTGGGCGGACTGAAAGGCCATCTTGGACCATTTTGGAGGCCATCTCGGCCATCTTGGAGGCCATCTTGGAGCCGTCTTGGGCAGAAAAGTAGGGAATTGAGGTCCGTGGCGATCCTCCCGGGACCCCGGCGGGACGCGCCAGAGCCCCAGGGGGAGTTCTTTTGGAAAAAGAACCAGAACCAAAACCGAGAGGGTCTAGCACGCCAGGCACCCCTGTGATGAATCAACAGGGGGCGTCGGATTTAATGGCCTGCGGCCCATCCCGTCACCGTGCCTGGCTTGTGGGCATGAAGCCTGTTGGATGTTGGTGGGGATCTCGTGGGATACCTCTCGGGGGGCTTTTCGAGGCAGTTTGGGCGCCTCTTGGGGGCCGTTTGGGGGCCTCTTGGTGCTTCTTTTGGGCCTCTTGGGGCCTCTTGGGGACCTCTTGGGAGCCTCTTGGGGCCTCCTGGGCGCCTCTTGGGGCCTCCTGGAGGCCTCTTGGGCCAGAGCGCCCGCTCTTGGTTGCCCAGCCGCGGCCCCGGCAACCGCTTTGGGCAATATTGGAGCCATACTGAGGCCTCGGAAGGCCATCGGAAGCAAAAAGGCGAGAACGCAAACACAATGATTTCCTTCACGTTTTGAACGGCTTTTGGCATTTGGGCGGCCTCCTGGGGGAGCCCTCGAGCTACTTGGACACGTCATAACATGTCGTTGCTCGAGCGCCACAGCTGCCCCGGCCAACTCCCGCAGCCTCCATAACATGTGGGTGCTCGAGCGCCACAGCGGGCCTGGCCAACGCCCGCAAATTCCCATGACAGATACCGCACCCCACTTCGCATGTGTCATGTGGGCCTCAGGAGGAAAATCTCTCGGCCTGCTCAAGTGGGTGTTTGACCCCCGTTTCCCCCGCCAACACGTGCAGCGTGCTGAACGGCAGAAGGGGTGCAAAACTCTTCAGTGGGGTTTTGACCCCCGCCCCCCCCGCCAACACGTGCAGCGTGCTGAAGGGCAAAACGGGTGCAAAACTCTTCAGTGGGGTTTTGACCCCCGTCTCCCCCGCCAACACGTGCAGCGTGCTGAAGGGCAGAAGGGGTGCAAACTCTTCATTCCCAGGCCGAAAGTTCTTTCCTCTTGCATGGGAACGCATGGATCCACTTGGATCCAATTACGTGTGTGCGAGAATCACGTGGATCCACTTTCCGTGTCTTCTGGCTCTAGTTTTTAGCGTGGAAGTTTCGTGGATCCAATTCTTCTGCTGGAAAGCGCTTATACGAATAATAATCAATACAAGGAACCCCAGGGGAAATGGATCCACGGAGCCTTGGACCTGCAACCCAAGCGAGGGGTTTCCCTAGCGAGAAGGGGTTTCCCTAGCGAGGAGG